CGCACACACCTCTGGGAGTCCGCGTCGCCAAAGTGGAGTGTTAGAACGGCTTCCGTGTAGAGCGGCTGATCGAAAACACTAGCTTCTCGAGCCTTGAGTGCGGCCAGGTTGTTTGCGGGATCATTGATCACGGGAGTGCCAAATATCTCGGTAGTGATCAGCTTCGTCGGCGTGTTGGGCACTGCGATACTCACACGGAGATCGCTGGTGAGCCACACCCTCAACCACAGGGATCCCACCTTCAAAGTGGAACGAATTACCACCAAGTCGAAGTTAAATAAAGTTCTAGGAAAAATACCACGATTCAAAAAAATTATAGCATTCCGATTGGGTACAAAAGGCAAACGGTCGGCTAGTCTGTCAGGTTCAAATGGCTCAGACAAATAATTATGAGGTTAAGCTGATATAACCGCTCGTGAAGCGTACTTATCAGGCTTCACATTTTCCACCGGTCCTCAGCATATTCTGATTGGGCCATGGCAATTGCAAAACCAGCACGAACCTTCTGCGCAGACTCCACCGCAAGCACAATTGACGCCTTGGCAACGCTTTGGAGACGAAATTAACGGTCTTAGTATTAAATTTATAGTGTCTACTACTTATAAATTTGGTAGGTTAGTAAACATTGCAGGCTGTCTACCTCGAAAGCATGGCTAAGTCTCCTGGTTATCAATTTCGACTCACATTCCAACTTGATAGCCGTGAAAAGGCACAAGCCCCTTCTGCGCAGATCGCAGGTTAACGGTTTTTCTCAGTCGCTTCAGTACTCTCGCGTTCACATTCTATTACTGACTTTCGCAATCTTAATGTCCTTACGGTAGGGACCCATTTTCAGGCCGTATGATAAAAAAACCGACTGAGGATGCATTGGAGTAAAAGAAAGCCTCCTCGAGAAGGCCAGTCAACTTACAAGTTGAACTCTGAGCAAATCAATGTCGTCATTTCCAACGGGTCTGAAGCGAACCGTCATACTGATCTCCGGAATCCAGGGCGCCGAGAAGATGGCCGGATCGAGCTCAAAACTCGAGAGTTCTGGTGCTGGTATTAGGGTGAGACAGTACTGCTGTTGGGGTTTCGTGTCCTTCTACAGCAGAGAAACCACACATGAGTATCACCGTTTCGTTATCCACTATACATAATTAACTACTTATTACTTTTAGTAAGCATGCGTGCTTTATTATTTCATTTATACTGACCCGATTCAGACCGTTATCAACAGTTGAAAAAGCATGTTAGCCCATAGCTGGCCTTGACTTTGACCTAATACGTGGCCTAAAGGCTCATACATGACAATAAACATTCAATTTCGTTTACTGGAAAGCATATAAAGATGAGGCAGAATTGTTTTTAAACATATCCCTTCCAGAGCCGGGAAATATTATCCTAAGTTAATGTAAGTCAGCTAACTGTGAGGAATTGTATAGTCATCCAAATGACTTCAGCTTTATGTTTTGCGAATGACTGATGGTATTTTGTTTCCAAACGCAGTCGTCTGACGATATTATGTTTCGCAACACCAAAAATTGCAACCGTAAAACAGAGAGACATTATAGTTGAAGCTTAATATAGTTTCCCCGGAATGCATATTTTACCAACGGAACTGGCTGAAGATTAGTAGTTTACTCAAATCTTAGTACCTATTCGGTCACCCATTTGTAGGCATAGAAGGAGGTAAATATAGCGGAAGAAATCTCCACATGAAGAGACGAAAGAGTGCTTAGTTCTTAAGTAAAATATTTTAGAAGTGTTTTTTTGAAATCTCAAAAGCCGGCCACACTTGCTCTTAGCTGCTTTGAAGTTAAACAGAAGAAAAGGGTAAATTAAGCGCATGTTCCTCAGCTGCCTGGAGAAATCAAATGCTTCCTAAACAGATAATTTATCATAAAGTTTTTTTGTCGATCTTAGATAAATTAATATCCGACCTTTGGACTGGATGGCCACTTTTTACCACGTGTTTGTTTGGTTCTGCAAATATGACCCATAGAGCCATCTTCCTAAGAAATAATATGAAAACAGCCGCTTCTTCAGCAACTGCTCTAAAAAGTGATTTACTGCGAAGGTTCTTCTAAGAACATAGAAGAGAAACTAAAAAAAGTTTGAAAGTAGTTACCGGTATTTTCCGGGCGATCCGAAATTAATAATAAGCTGATAGCGGTAATACTTATATAGAAATCAAAGGAAACTAAAGTCCTATTCATACAGGCGAAACTCCCTGTTCACGAGTTTAGTTAACAATTTCTTTGTATTTGCTAGTTCTACTTACTGCGATTTTTTTAGTATTTACTGACTTCTCCGCTTTTTTCGAAAAACAGCATTTCTTAAAATAGTAATACCAAAATATATAATATACATATCGCGTTCATCATCTCCAGAAGATAAGGAGGAAGAAAAGGGGACGGGTTCATCGACCAAATTCTATTTGAACTGGCGTTCCGGAAACCTTCCCGCGCCCGTCGTCGGGGTATTCTGGTTGCTGCCTCTGGTGGTCTTGACTTAGCCAGCCTTGCCACCTGCCTCGTATTATATCTATGCTGGATGCGCGAACGTTGACCTGCCTGTTTGTTGCCGACTACATTTGGTCTTCCGGAGGTTGTCTGCTGGTGGGATTGCGTGACCTTCGTCCCTTTTGCAGTCAGCGTAGTTGTAGGCGAGTCAATATGCTTGCTGGTCTCCCCCACGTTAACCGGCGGACTGATCACTCATTACTGTTCACTGACTTGTTTTTTGCTTCGCGGGTGTAACGGTGAGACAGTGTTTGGTGATGGCGCATGACAAGGCTGGCTAACTCAAGATCATTAGAGGCAGCAACCACAATATTCTGACGATGGAAGCGAGAAGGGTTCCGAAACGTCAGTTCAACTATAATTTGGTCCATGAACCCGTCCCCTCTTCTTCTTTCTTATCTTTGGTAGATGGTGAACGCGATAAAATAGGTGAATCCCAAATCTTTCGGCATAAAAAAACCTTCATATGGGGATAAAGTGGAAGCGTCGAAACGAAATGAGAGTCCAGAATGGCCATTTCTTACTTATTAGCCGGTTCCAGCCTAATCTTAGTCGGTTCCACAACTTGTTATGCAGCAGCTTGCGAAGGCTCCAAATTAAGCTCTGATGTACAATTGGAAATTGTAGAGAACTGTAAGAATTTCAATTCGCTGTAGACTGTTCATTATTGGTTCAGAAATTTAGCACAAGCGGTGGTGGTGGGGGTAGTAACGTTGCAATTGTCAAGCTTTCGACCTACAATCTGAAGAGCCTCATCAGCTTGCCAGATGTCCGAAAATCTTGAGTCACCGTAATTCTGCATCGGATTCTGTACATAGACATCGGAGTATGTGGCCGCAGTGAGCGGTGACTTTGGGGCACGCAGTCCTATGCGACCACGGAAACCGGTAGTTGTCAGTCGAAGGCTGCATTGAGAGAAATGAGGTATATAGTTCAGTATATTTAGGGTAGTAGGCAAGGCATTTGAAGACCCCATTGAAAACGGTTTACATAAAATATCCAAAATAATGTGTTACTTCAAAATAGTGAGAAAAATATACATGTGTAAAATTTTATTATCCGTGTGTGGGACCAAAGCGTAAGCAGTAAGGTCCTTTGGAAAAGAATATATGTTTAAATTGGATAGCTAAGGCAGAGTACGTTCCGAGATGATCAATGAAGAAAGAACGCCCGTCGGAAAAGTCGACCTTTATTCGAGAACTTTCAAACTGATAACACATCAACCCTTTGCTAATCGGCATTAAGTAAGGTAGTCTATTCTGGAGTCATTTTAGTCACGATAGGATGCCGCCTTTTTAGCGAGCTTCCTTCTGACGGCTAAAAGAACGTATTCGTTGCAGAAATGGCTACTTAAGTACTATGTATTTTAGTATTGAGTTTTACTGCCTTTATAACTTCAAATGTATTCTATGGAAAACAAAAACGAAAACATTATTTCTTGAAATCGTTTGGTAGCAGATTACGCCTTCTTTAAGTTGTATACATAATAAAGTGTATCTTTTGACTCTAGAAACGTTTCTAAATTGCCGAATAATCTTTAAACTTACTGACTGCAAAACTCGAATTCAACGTGAATAAACTGCGCGCTGTATACATCCTCTTTAGAGAAAAGTACGTTTTCGCTTACGGTTTGAGGAAGAAGTCACACAGTTCTCAAAAAATACTGCCACAGGTGTGAAAAAACTGTATATAATATAGGCAGCATTTATAAATTAACGGATATGATCTATTATGAATGCACGCCTCAAAATCGTATAAAATCTCACAATCAGAGATCTCTCTGAAACCGAGAGATGTACTTTCTTTATGTATTAAATTTAAAGAAGGCGTAATTTTCTACCAAACGAGTGCAAGAGATAATTTTTTCGTCTATGTTTTCGATAAAATATATTTGAATTTATAATGGCAGTGAAAATCAATGATAAAGATGCATACTACTTAAGTAGCCACTTTTTATATTGCATACAGTTGGTTAGCGGTCAGTGCGAATCTACTTAAGAAGCCGGCATACTATCGTGACTGAAACGACTTCAGAATAGACTAAAAAAATGAGTAGTACAATTTAACTCACTGCCGATTAGCGAAAGAGTATCATTTTGTCGCATGTTACACGAATTCTAGGCTATACTGTATATGGGTTTTGACGTTCACTGATCGGTTATAGAACTCAGCCGTGCCTTTGTACTTTCAGGCTCCTTCTCGAGCCGCGTTGCAAGGTAAATTATGATATCGGCAGATTGTATTGCCGGCAAAAACCAAGGAGACTAGAATGAGCGCTTCTGACTTAGTTGCCGTCATTAGCCGACCAGCCTTTTAAAAATGCCTACTGTTGATTTATAAGTAGTAGTTTATTTATAATTGTAATATATTCGCATCTGCTCAGTAGTTCAATATGCAAGCCCTTGTCACGCAGAAGGCAAAAGTAAACGCACCGTAACATTGTCCGTCGAAGTTCAAAATGTCCAGGCGGAAGACCACCCAGGAAAATGACCATATTGTCCTTCTCGTTCGCATCACAATCCTCAGCCAGCGGTTTGTCCAGCTGCCAATCCGACTGTTCCCTGTCAATGCGAAGAACTCGCAGAGGCGTCTTCTTCACTCTGTCCGAGTGCTGAAGGTTGCTGTCCCAGCGCGTACTTATGAGTGTATCATTCTTGCTCTCCAGAGTCACGCCGTAACCCTAGGATGAATCAAAAAAATTATTATTGAGTATCAGGCTTGCGTGGCCGTTTCTACATGGAATGAATTGAACGGTAGCGGACATCTGATATGATAAGGGTGGATTTGGGTAAAGATCTATATTGGGGATCCCCAAAGTGCGCGCGAAGCGCACTTTACTCTAATATGAGCACCTGGGTTTAGGAGGAAAGATGGGTGGGACATATCGGGGAATAACTCAATGCGCAATAACCACGTTAATTAAAAAAGTTACGCGAGTAATTTGGGGGGTGTTCGCTGATCTTGGGCGAGGTCACTGAGGTACATTTCTTTAATATTATCACTAACGTCAACTGAAATAACGGTGGGCGAGCGAAAAATTGGAAAATTGTGGAAATGCACCTATTGAAAATTCTGAAGTAAACCGTTATTCTCATGGTTAATTTGAGAAGTCATTTTACTTAAGAAACTAACTCAAGCGGTTACTGTGCATGGAGGCCTTCCGAGGATCCATCTACAGTTCAATATCATCATCCAAACCCTACTGGACCAACGACCGGCGTCCCAAAAATTGGGAGATGAGGGAAAATTCAACCTACTGAAAAATTTGAAGTAAGCGGTTATTGTAAATGTTGGCCTTCCGAGCACCCCTCTAGAGACCCCTGCCGGATGCTGTGAATTCACACTCAACCAATCCCGCCCGCCTACTCCCATCTGAAACAGCGATATACTAAGAAGATGTAAATACTGAGCAAGACTACAAAAACAACGATGCTGTAGGAATGCGTCCTTATTGGCTAGTTGTTATTCCGTTACAGTCCGTACTCGAACTCCAGGCAATAATTAAACGTCAAAAAGCAATGTTACTCACGGTTTGGGAGTAGCAGCTAATTAATGTCATCGCTTAGAAGTGCGTGTGCAAGGGTATATGACGCACATGCATGTAAGCAATACGGTTGTCAGAGGCACTGCCTGTTATTCTTACAAAATAAACTGACTTGAACTGAAAACGTACTCCTGAAACGTGTGATGCTGCCGTCCGCTTGCGTTCAATCCCGCCAACTCTAATATTCATGACTCCTTCTGGCAAAGACGCTTGATGGAAGAGGGCTAGATGGTGATAGATGCAGCACAAATTAACCCTAACCTGTTAAGGGGTTACGGTCAAGGGACCACTGGCCAGAATTCAAGCCGGCAGGAATCCATAGAAGGGTTCTAAAAGGGTGAACCTGTTTACTATCCCCTTATTTACACATTTGAAGTAGGTTGAATTTTCCAAAATCACCCAAATTTTGGGGCGCGGGCCGTTGGTCCAGTAGGGAGTGAATGCTGATATTGAACTATATATTGGTCTTCGGTAGGCCACCATGTACAATAACCGTTTGAATCAGTTTATTAAGTGAAATAGTTTTTCAAATTAACCATGGGAATAACCGCTTCCAATAAAGTTTTCAGTAGGGCGAATTACTACAATCTTCCAGCTTCGTCTCTCTTCCACCGTTATTCTAGTTGGGGTTAGTTATACTTCTAAAAATGTACCACAATGTCCTTGCCCGGGATCAGCGGACAACCCCCCCCTACCTGCATACTCGCGCTCTCCGTTGGTCCAGTAGGGGTTAGCGATGATATTAAAATGATTTTCAGTGTCC